CAGCAAATACCCAGAGATGTGTAATTCCTACAGTGGCATGCTCTGTAGCTATTCCTGAAAGCAGGCAAAGGGCTTCTATTACAAGCTGAGCCATCTGGAACTCAGAAGAGGCTCTAGTGCAGTGGAAGAGAGATCTATGCAGTCTGTCTGATTCTGAGACTCTGACTGCTCTTGGGTTGGTTTGTTAATGAGGAAGGCTTTCATGAAGCACTCAGAGGGCTGTGGCTTGCTCCTGCTTCTGAAGAAGCTGAGAATCTCACATCCCTACTGCAGGGAGGGAAAGATGTGATCTGGGTTTGCTCTGATGTGTGCCAAGCCTGTTGAAGTTGCAGCATACACTCTTAAATGCAGTGGTCCCATGGAGACCAAGATGATGTCTCGGTAGAAACTGCAGCAGCCAGCATGAGATTTCTCAACACGTGCTCTGCCATGTTCTCCTCTTGTATAGTTACATAGAAAGCCAAGGGTTTCCCAACATCCTGTGATAATTACATTTCAACATCAAAGCAAGACTTGAGAGATTAAAAAGAAGAAACCCCCCCAAGCATTAAGCCATTTTGATGGCGTTTGTGGGGCTGAAGCGACTCAAACTAATGAGGAACAGTATAGTATTTTCCAAAATGTGACACCTAAAGCTGAACAGAACTCGTGCTTTTACCCTCAAACCCTGCATAAGGGGTTAGAATTGTCATGCTTGGAGCATAGTGTGGAGGAGGGAAAAGTTGCCAGGAGTCACCCCGTGGCCAGGCCAAGGGCTTTCTTGGTCTCTGCAACGCAGGATCTGGTCTGTTTGGGTAGCCCAGTGTGGAGCCAGGAGTTGGGCTCACCGGCCCTTGTGGGTCTGTTCCAGCTCAGGGTATGATGCTATACTGACTGAGCTGGAGTACCCCACAGCCCATGCTCAAAACAGCCTTGGTGCTAGCATAGGATTTCACTTCACTATCGCAGCCTGGGACACCTCTTACATGGGGAATCAGTGCAGGAGATCTGGGAGGTATATGATAGTGTATGGTCTTACCTGCATCTTGCACAGAAATATTCATAACGGTGGCTGAGTGGGAGGGGAAACCTTCAGAGAGGTTTATGCTGTCAGAAAGGTTTTAGCAGAATATGGAGCCTGGCTGCAGCCCTGAGCACTGCCTGCACCCTTCTGGGAGCTTCCAGCTTTAATGGGCTCAGTGCTGGGGCCAGAGCCCAAGCAGAATGCGGAAGGACACAGTTCTACCCAAGCCTGCTGGCATCCTCCCACATGAGTGACAGCTCATATTTCTGGCAGGGACGTGTCAGCTGCGCTAGGAGAAGAGGAAACGAGTGGTCTTGGCAGAGAAGCTGGGATTTTTTTCTCCCTCAAAAAATGAGAGGCTGCTGCTTGGAGCGCAAGGGGTCACCGCATTGATGCCACAGATCAGCGTCAGGGAAGGACAGAGAGCTGCTGGGAAAAACTTGGAGCAATAGGATTTTTTTTAAATCCAGTTCAGTTTGACAAGCATGAGAAAGGGCAGCGTCTCTAAACTTGCATGTTAACCTACTTCTTTTAAACCACATCACGCAACTGAGCTCATCTCAGCAGCTTTGCATCAAGAGCAGATCTAACTGCTGCATTGAGCAGGCTGAATCTTTGTCTAAAATCAAGAGAGTAAGAGACAGAAGAAAAGTAGAAAATAAGGAAATAAATAAATTGGTTTTCAAGAAGGAAGCAGCACTTTCCCTGTGTTGAAGCTGTGGCTCCTTGCTGCTGTGGGCTGCTTCTGCCTAGCCTGCATCGAACATCACTGCTGATGGATGGATGATGGTCAGCCTGCTCCTTCCCTGAGCAGCTGGGCACTTGGGCCCAAAGAGGGTGGTTTGTCTTTGGTTGAAAAAGCCACAGCATACTGAAGGATGCCCTCCCATCCTCAGACTTGTTCTGATCCCTCAATCAGTTGTTTCAGGCTACTATGTCACTCAGTAGTGCGATGAATGTAAAAAGCAGCAACACAACTGTTTGTAGTTCAAATGCCTAGCTTGCACCAGGGAGGAGCACAAGGAAACTGGCAGGTTCTCCCCAAGAAGCAGCCCTGGAGCTGAGGACACTATCTTTTGCATGTTGCCCTGCGTGACCTTGTTTGCCCACCCCTGACAGAACCATTCACCCTTACCTTGGTCCTGAGCGGGGCAATGGGCACATCTTTGGTGGAGACGCAGAGCAGCACGATGCCTGTCAGTCCTGCCACGATCACCAGCCAGGGGGGAAGGAGCTCTCGCCAAGACATGGAGCACTTTATACTTTTTTAGACAGTGAAAGAGGAAGCACAGGAGTAGCACAGAGCCCACATCTGACAGCAGCTGCTTTCGGCAGGCTTTAAGAAGAGGAGAAAGGCGGAGCCGGGGCCAGTGTCTGGCTTCAGCCCAACCCCAAGCCGCAGGACCATGAGAAGCACATAGGCTGAGCCACGAGTCCTTCGGCCGGCCATGCAGTTGGTGCAGCCGTGGCTTTGTGCCATTCAGGCGCTCACTCAACAGCGCTGCAACCTCGAAACCGCCCTGGGCGACGGTGTTGAGGTAAACAAAAATGCTGGGCGAACTCTGTTTAATAAGCAGAAAGCAGGCAAACTCTCATCGCTTTGGTATTCTGTGCCTGGCAGTGCTAGTGAGAGTTGCCAAAATTAGAAGTCAGGAAACTCTTGTAGCTGGGTTTCCTTTTCATCTGAGAGCTGTGCACGGTTCCACTGTGGGTCTGGGGCACTCCCTGCAACATGCCTTTGTCTGTGAGGGGTGGTTTTGGCATGCTGCGAAGATGTCTGTGTGTTTGGGTTTCCATGTGCAGCAGGCTCTGGGTGGTTTGCCCTTTGCTATGGGGGCTGCTCGGGCCGTTTGTTCACCTGAGCTGAGATTGCTACAGTGCCTGCATGCCCCTTCTCAGCATCCCCATGGGAAGGACAGCCCTAGACTTAACAAAACGTGCCCCTCTTCCTCCTTTCCTATGTCACAAAGATACATCTCTGAAACCAGAACTTCTGAAGAAAAATCTCATAGCCACAGGAGGGATATTTCCTTCAAGTATTCTGATCTATTTCCTAGTGATTGGGTCTAGTAATAAAACTGCAGCTGCTCTAAAAGATTTTTGGCTTGAACAAGCTGGGCTGTTAATTAGTACAGACCTCTTGTCCCCGTGGCTACTGGAGGCTTCCCCTGTCAGGCCTCTTCCTGCAGAATCAGAAGAATGGAGATGTGTGTCTTAGTGTTAGAGCTGTTTAAGCCTTGTTTTCCTGCAGATTCAGAGTTCTGTTGGAGTTTAGTGGCTCACATAAGGATATTTGTCTGAGAGCTCATGCCTGTGGGCTGCTCATGGCAGTTCATACCAGTGTTGTGGCAGTGATAAAGAGGCAACCTTGAGACAAGGGATCCTTTTTTCTGCCCCTGCTTCAGGTGGACTGGGAGGCTCTAAATCATGAAGTTAGAGTTGTTGTTCTGCCAACTGCTGGGCAGTTGCCAGAGGGGTTTTTGTGATGACTTGAATTTGAACTTCTTTGAACTAAAAATGTGCAAATATTCCTATGCAGCCACAAGGGAAAGTACTGCAATCTGCTTCTGTGTGCCATGTCTGGATAAGTTGCCTGAGGTACGAGGTGTCCGTGTAAAAACTCATAAAAATCTCAAAGTAACCCAGCTGGAGATTCCAGCCAGGCAGGGAAGAGAACAACCTGGGGCATGGCTGGAGATCTCATGGAGAATAAAAGTAGGATTATTATTCCACTCTGTAGCAACTATCCTGAAAGTCTGGCCCTGTGGAGGCCAAATGGTGGTTGTGGAAGGGCCTCTTTCCCTTGTTGACTGTTGCAAATCTACCAAAACACAGCCGAAAGACAAGAGTTTGGGAGGAGATATTGATTTATTCTGCACAGGGTGTGAGGTGGGATATTCCCACAAATCTAGTGCACAGTCTGTACACTGGCTTCTGTTTATAATCCAGTAAGTTTTCATGACTCACCTATCTAATATGTAATGACAGGACAAGAGGGAATGGCCTCAAGCAGCACTAGGAGAGGTTTAGGTTGAATGTTAGGAAGAATTTCTGCCTCATAGGGAAGTGTTCCATCCCCCAGAGCATTTTTGTGGCCCTCCTGTGGATGTGCTCCAACAGTTCCCTGTCTTTCATAACTACTCCTACCTATTGCATATTCATAGAATTACATACATACAAGGTTACATGACATATTTGAATCTTCTGAGCTCATTTGGGAGCTTCAGTGTTCTTTGGTGGTAGTTTGGGGAGATGTCCCACTCTTTGGTTATCCATGGGTACAAGGACACCTCGCCCCTTCTGGCTGGCCGCTGTCTAGGACTTGTACCTCCTCTGGATGGCTGTCTTTCTTCCTTATTTGTGGCACTCGAATCTTTGAAGAGAAGTTCCATCACAGGAAGGTTGTTTTTCTGAGATAAGGAGGACATCTGGAACTTAAAGCTGTGCTTCAGCCTTGAGCAAAATAGCTCAGCCAGACAAAAAATGTTAAATAATCGCCTTCTGAGTCATCACTCTTTGTGATGTCGGCTGCATTTCCCGACTTCATCCCTTCCTTCTCGGCGTCAGCCGCGAGGTCTCAGCTTCCCGGAACGTTTGTTTGGCGCATCGAGTTCCGGACGGACGGAGCGAGCGTCGGACCGCGCCGCGCTGGGGGACCGGGAGCGGACGGACCGCGGCGGGAGCGGGGCCGGCTGGGCGGCCGGCTGCCATGTACGCGGGGCTGCAGGAGCTGGGGGTGGCCAACGGCGAGGATCTCAAGGAGACCCTGACCAACTGCACGGAGCCGCTGAAGGCCATCGAGCAGTTCCAGGTGGGGCGGGTCGCCATGGAGACGGCGGGGCGAGAAGGCCCCGGGTGGCGTCCGTGCTTTGTTTTGGGGTGAGAAGGCCGCGGGTGGTGCCTGTGCTTTGCTCTGTGCTCTTTTGGCCCCTTTTAAAATTATTATTTCTTTTAGCAGCCTTTGCTGACCGCCCCTGTCCCCCGTTTGTGTTGGCAGACAGAAAATGGGGTCCTGCTGCCCTCGCTGCAGTCGGCCCTGCCCTTCCTGGACCTGCACGGCACCCCCCGGCTGGAATTCCACCAGTCGGTGTTCGACGAGCTGAGGGAGAAGCTGCTGGAGCGAGTCTCAGCCATCGCCTTGGAAGGGAAGGTGGAGGAAAGGTCTGTAGGCTGGTTGGTTATGTGGAGTGAGAGGGGGATTTAACGTGAATGTTATCTGCAGTGGGCAAGTGGCTTCTGAAAAAGACTTGAATCTTCTGGAGGCTCAAGTTGCAGTGTTTGAGATGAGTTTTGGGCCTTTGCAGTTAAGTGGTAGTTAGAGTCTCTTGGTCTTATGTGTTTTCAGGTACAAGAAGCTGGAAGATCTCCTGGAGAAAAGCTTTTCCTTGGTCAAGATGCCTTCCATACAGCCTGTGGTAATGTGTGTCATGAAGCACTTGCCCAAGGTAAAACTGCTGCTTATGCTGGCCTGTTCTGTTGTGTCCATGGTGGTTTGTTCTGTTACGTCTCTGTTGTATGACTTCTCTTGTCTGTGCAGTTGGCTGGGCTGCAGGCTCCAGCTGCAGATGCTCTGCAAGGATCAGTGCAACTGACTGAATATTTACTGGACTCTTGTGTCTGGTTAACAGCTTGATACGCTAATTTAAAAAGCATTTTAGTATCTTAAAATCAGATGAGACAGTTTCCCAATCTTATTCAATACATGTGGCTTCCTAAAAGTAGTCAAAATCACTAGTAAGTGAATTTTCCTATAGCTGATATGAAAAGTAATTAGAAGGATACAGGATAGAGACTCAGATTTGCGAAAGAAAAAATTCAAGAAGCAGCTTTATTAAAAGCATTGTATTGTACTTAAGGTAATTACTAGGCAGCAGCCTGATCTAGTGGAAGATGTCACTGCCTATAGCAGGGGGTTGGGTCTAGATGATCTTAAAGGTCCCTTCCAACCCAAACCGTTCTATGAAAATGGATTCAGAACTGTTCCTTTCATAAGCAGAAGAGTTCTGAATAACTCCAAATCTCGTAGAGTCATAGATTTAGAGAAAATCTTTTGTCCTCTTAGAAAGGAATAAGGAAAAACTCAATATGTTATTTGCTTGTTTAAAAAGTTAAATTTCTTTGCGTTGGCTTACTGCTACTAGCGTAGAGAGGGCAGAAGATGAGTCTGTGGTACTTTATTTAATTACACTGCTATGTAAATTACCAGGTTACCTGAGATTGTGATTTAGATGTCTTCTGCAGTCAGTTACTTGTTGGAAAGTCAGGCAGGTGAGATTCTTGACATGGATGTAACTGCTCTGTTGATCATAGGTGCCTGAGAAGAAGCTGAAGTTAGTAATGGCTGATAAGGATTTGTATAAAGCATGTGCAGTGGAGGTAAAGCGCCAGATTTGGCAGGATAACCAGGCTCTGTTTGGTGATGAGGTATCTCCACTGCTGAAACAGTATATCCTGGAGAAAGAAAATATTCTCTTCAGCAACGATATTTCTGTCCTGCACAACTTCTTCAGTCCATCTCCCAAAGCAAGACGTCAGGGAGAGGTAAGACAAGGAAATCTCTTACAACATGCTTCTGAATGTTGTTCATCAGCTTCCAGTCAACCTCATCACACTGTGGAGTGTTCATTTCACCCACCCAACTTTGCTATTGAAGCTGATTGGTCACTGAAATATGGGCCATTTTGTCTTGATCAAAGCATCAGGAATTATTTTAATAGCTGCTCGATGCTGTGTAATTATTTATTAATGTCCATAGCTGTCCATGAACTTTAAACATTTTCCTTATTGCTTATCCTGGCAATATTCCTCAGCTGTTCTGAAACCAGAACCTCCCTGTCAAATCAATTTGAATATCTTAAATGTCTTTTATTGTTTGGAGTGTTTGTTGTTTTTGTTGTGTTTTTTGTTTTTTGTTTTTGTTTTTTTTAATAGCAAGACAGACAGACACCAATTCCTTAATATTATTTTTAATGGAAAGGAACACTGGAAGTTGTAGCTATGTTTGCGTTCAGAAAAGTTACTCTTTAGGTGGGATTGCATCAGTTCAGGTGGAGCTGATCTAATACTGCTGCTGGGAGGGCAGGTGCTGCACCTTCTATCCTTGCCAGTTGCTCTGGTAATATCAGAGCCTTTCAGGTAATTGGGACCAAACTGGGCTGGATTTCACTGGCAAGCTTGATGTGGGAAGGAAGGGCATAGGTGTAAGGAGCGGGTCTCCCTCCTTTTTGGTACCAGCAAGCCATTAGATTGGCTCAGCTGTAATTGGTCCTTTCACCTCATGGGGCCTTTGCTCCAAAAGGGAAATACCAGAGTTTCTGTAAGGATCTTGCTATTGAGAATACAAAGGAATTGCAGTGATAAGGCAGTATAATTAATTTAATTTCAGAGCATAGTACCTCTTTTACTTGAAGGATATAGTTTAGATCTGTTTTGCTCTCAAAAACCCACTTTTAGTGCAAGTGCTCTGGTGCTGTTTCCTTTAGGTTTGCACTGCAGTCTTCACCTTTATTCTCATGTCCTGTAACCTGGAAGTAGTTAGAAATACAAAAAGACTTCCAAAGAAAAGTGAGCTGCTTTCCATGTTTTATTAATTGCAGATTACATTATTTGATATCAGGTACTGTTTATTGCCTTTTGGTATAGCTGAGCACCTTAACTTTACAAATGCTTCCTTTTTTTTTTTTTTTTTTTGCAGGAGAGCCATTTTTGAAATTCCTGGCTCCCTTAGTATGACTGTGAAAAATTTGATGAACATTATGAATCCTAGTTTAAAATAGCTCTTTTTAAGGAACTCAGGTTAATGTGGATGGTTCAAATCATGTAAATGCAAGAATCACTTGCATTTGGTGTGTGAAGTCATAGCATCTCTTGGTACTGAGTGCATGTTTTTCCACTTTGGATTTAGGTGGTTCAGAAGCTGACTCAGATGATTGGGAAGAATGTGAAGCTCTACGACATGGTGTTGCAGTTCTTGAGAACTTTATTCCTCCGGACAAGGAATGTGCATTACTGCACACTGCGGGCAGAGCTCCTGATGTCACTGCATGACCTGGAAATCAGTGAAATCTGCACTGTTGACCCCTGTCATAAGGTATTGGTCATGTGGGGCAGATGGGAATATTACTGGAGAATTTTCTGTTTTACCCACTCCTGTGCATACTTGCTGCACAGCAAGACTTCAGCCCATGACTTCTCTCTGAGAAGAGAGTTCAGATCTTGAATCCAAAAGTCATCTTATAGTCCTTGGAACTTCAGCTGAAAACTTTTGTCTTGGTTAACCAGCAGCTTGCTTTCATTTCAGAACCCATGAATCATTCAAATTTGAGATGCTTCCACACCACTGGAAAAAAAAAAAAAAAAATCAAAAACATGAGCTAGCTCCAGGTCCTTAATCAAAGCTTGCTTTCCTTCCCGTTGTGCTGGTGTGACACACTCCATCTGTCAGTAAGCTACATGTGTAACATGAAATACTTTGAATCTTGAGTTACAGAGACATTAAGCTATTAAGGTAATGGGATGTGGTGGGCACAGTGTTAATGTCACATCAGGATCTTGTTACTGGTCCTTAATGCTGCTAAGCTTTGTGTGTATTCTGTTTATAGAAAATATGTCCTAGAGTGATGATAAACATTACTGCATGCTCTTTAAAGTCTTCTGATCAAGAGTCTCAAAATCAGTGTATAAACAGTAACTGAATAGAAAAAGGATCATTATTATTCAAGGTGCAGATTGTTGTTGGTGACCTCATTTTGCCACTGTAATGCAGAGACTGGTGAGAGGAAAATAAGCCAGGATGAAACATTTCAGAAAGTTGAGCAAGTTTTTCTTTCTTGGCATCTGAAATATTGAGGAAAGCTTAGGTGTTTTCTTAAGGGGAAAAAAAAACAAAACGAAACCAAACCCACAGGTTTAGGTCAGGTAAAACATTTCACTCAACTGTCTTTCTATTTTGGTAAGAAAGCAGAAACGTCTCCACTTTTAATAAGCCCTACTTACAGGGTGGGAGTGGTAGAACATTGGCTAAAAAACAATCTCATGTTATTACTATTAAGTGATGCAGTTTCAGTGGCCTTACTTGCCAAGGAATACCTGTCACAGAAGCGAAGAAAGTGATAACAGTTTAACTTACACTGGAACTTCTGACCTCCTTTTGAGATGTTTTTGTATTCAACCTCCTTTGTATTTGGGATCAGCTTGTTACCATACCCAAGTATATTAATAGAACTTGTTAACTTCCAAGGTTTGGATGTCATTACAAGCCTGTTTTCCTTGATACTGTATATTTTATTGCTAGTCTGTCATTGTCATGAGCATTCTCATTTTCTGAGTAGTTCACGTGGTGCCTTGATGCCTGCATTCGGGAGAAGTTTGTGGATAACAAGAGAGCTCGGGAATTGCAAGGCTTTCTGGATGGAGTGAAGAAAGGACAAGAGCAAGTTTTGGGGTAAGCTGCTTAGGCTCTTTATTGATAGACTGCAAATTGGGTTCCAGTTGTCACAATATGTGACCTAGTTCAGGTGTTAATTCTTCCCTAAAACCAGCAGGCAGTCAGTAGTTCTTCTACATGGTCAAGTGCAGTAGATTCAGCAACATTATTGCACTAGAGCATATTCAGGCACCTTCTGGTGAGATCCTTGGTAATGCTTCAGTTACTTTGAGTAATTGTTGCAGGTTTCTCTGTGACCTTGTAACTGTGTGAGCTCACTCAGCTATGCTTCAGCTCTAAAGACCTTTGGTAATTATTTTCTTTGACTTGATAGAGCAGGTAATCTGAAATAACATTCATGACATTTTTACAAAGGCAAGAGAAGGTTTGTGGAATGAAAACCTATCGGTAACAAAAGACAGAAATGTGAGTTTTATGTTATTATAGTTAAGGTATTGCTGCCCATCAACACAGCAGTTTCTGGGTTTTGTGTTGATTTACTGCATGTACTACTTTTGACATTACATCTAATAGTTGACAGGATTACAGGATTACAACAACACGCCCTGTTCTGTGTTCAGGGAGACACATCTTAAGAAGCTAGTGTCCTACAGCTGGCTATGAAACTAGTCTGCTGCGATGATGGTTAGGTGTGATGTGCATTTCTTTGACTTTTGCCTCTTCTCTCAGGGACTTATCGATGATCTTGTGTGATCCCTTTGCCATTAACACCTTAGCCCTGAGTACCATAAGGCACCTGCAGGACCTAGTGGGGCAGGACACCTTACCCAGGGTGAGTGTTGCAGCAAGAATAGCTAACGTGACCCCTAGTCTTAATTGAACAGCATTCATCAGCAAACAACTGGCAATGCAGAAGTAGGATCAAGTTTTTAAACACATTTGTAAGTTAAAATAAGAGAAGTGTAGTTCTGGCTTCCTGTTTGTATCAAATACCTTAAAGATCTGCAGGAGCGCTGTGTAGAGAGAGGCATTTTAGAGGAATCTGAATTGACCATGAATTCTTTGTGTGGCCCACTCTGTTCTGACAGCTGTGTATGTATTTACACCCCTACTTTATCCTTCCAGCAGTGTACTAAACAGCAGCAGCCTTTATTCCCTGCTGTGGTAAATGTGATGGCTCATTTGACACTGGTCTGCTCTGTTGTCTGCAGTGCAGTGCAGTTCCTGCAAGTAGTGTCTGCAGGAGGTGATTCAGTGGAAAGGGAAGGAGCTCTACAGACATCTGAACTGAGTGAGGCATTTGCTGTCTTCATTTCTGAGCTGTCAAATTTTGTTGTTGGATTAAATAAGTTCTTCATGGCAGTTTAAAATTGAAGATTGTTTTGGTTTCAGGGCAGAATATAAAGGCAAAAACTTGTTCTTATGCACACTTCCTACTTCTGCTGAGATGATTTGATTCATCCTGTCACGTTGTATTTCAGTATCCTAATTTGGTTGGACACCTTCAAAAACAGTGTCCTGCTCAGATTGCCTGCATAATTCTTAGCACATTATAGAATGCTACAAAGAACAACTCTCAGCTATGTGTTCTTCTTGCAGCTGTTTGATTCCCATTTTAGGAATTGGTTATCAATTAAATGTGAGAACTGAATGCCTCTCCTGTTAGTCCAGGCGGGCTTTGAATGTAAACCACTGCTTCCAGATAAATACTTGTATGTGTAAATTGTGGAAGGTCAAACTAGCTGTTTTTTCTCCCCCTCTTTAAAATTCGAGGAAAGCCCAGATCTGCTGCTGCTCCTTAGGATGCTGTCTTTAGGACAGGGAGCCTGGGACATGATTGACAGTCAAGTCTTCAAGGAACCAAAAATGGTGAGCCTTCTTTAGATCTGATTCTTATTTGATGTACACTGTGTCCCTGATTTAATCTTCAAGTCAGCTTTCTGCATATTTTTCAACAAGAGCTTCCTTCAAAAAAGCATGTAAGTGGTCACTGCACAGCAGCTCAAATGGGCATGCTGGGCAGCTGTAAGCTTCGTGTACATGTTTCATTTCCATGGATGTCTGCCCTTACTGTTTCTAAGTTGAGCTGTTCCTCTCTTAAATTCTTTAGCCTACTGTTCTGTGAATCTGATGCAGCACTGATTTCTGTGGAGAGAAGATGCACATAAATACTTTATTTTGCTACTCTAGTTATGCATTGATCTCTGTCAGTTTAGGAAATAAAGAATATGATTTGTAATTGCTGTTAAAAGCAATAATACCAACCTTAATGTGCAGTGCTTGCTCAAACATCTCTTAGAGGAAGTGCTATGTCATTGTCTAAAGAAAGCTCTCGAGCAGGATTAGGTGAAACACAGTTTTCCGCATTACCACTGGATCATGTGGAAGTTTCAAGGAACTGTCTGAAAGCTTGTTTTCATAAGTGTAGGGTGGAGCTAGTAACATTGCCTCAGTATTTTACGGTGCTGTGGAATTATTAGATGGTGTGAACTGACTGATGAAAGCATTCTCCTTTTTCCTCTGTCCTTCCATCCCTCTAAGGAAGCTGAATTGATTACAAAGTTCTTGCCTATGCTGATGTCCTTTGTGGTGGATGATCACACATTCAATGTAGATCAGAAACTGCCCTCGGAGGAAAAGGGGCCAATTCCCTACCCCAGCACCATTCCTGAGGCTTTCACCAAGTACGTAATCTGTATTCTCAACTACTTTTTACACACTGGTCTTGTTAGTAAAGCAAAATATCAAGAAGCCAATGAACACCGGCAGAACAAAATACTGTATGTGGTCAAGACTTTTTGGGGAGTAAGATTCAGTGCTGGTTAATCAAACCTACACTTTACTTTTAGTGAAATGGCTTTCCACCATGATTCCTCAAATGAAATATATCTACATAAAGTATATTTCTTGCTTTGACCATTTTTACATCAGAGTGAATATGAAAGTACTTTGTAGTACTGTTTTCAAATAGTGCTGACTGTGTGACTCTCCAGGCAGTGAGTGATGAATGCTGAAGTGATACCATTTCATCTGAGTGCAGCTGGATAAGTGCCCATGCCTGCTATCTGGGGAGTGCTATTGTAAATCTTATTTTACATCTTTGTCACACAGACACTCTCTGTTGATAACTTATCACTCCAGGGGCTTCAAAGAGATAATTAAAAATCCACTTTGTGTTTTCTCATATTCGGATCTTGCACTAATTTCTAGCACAATTCTTATCTGTATGCCATGATCTGGAGTGCTGAATACCACTGGTTGGATTTATGTTTGCTCTGTGACAGTGCTGATGTTTGACCTCTAGGAATCCATAAAACAAAACACTGCTGTGCTTTCTGTCATTTTAAATTACTTGAGCTTTTTTTAAAACTCTTTTTAAAATTATCACTTTTATCATTAATACTATTTAAAATGTTCACAACCAGATCCAACTGTATAATTGTGAGATAATGCAATGTTTGCTGAATGGTAACGTATTCCTTGGCTGTGACAGTGGATTTAGTGATGCTCATTATCTGAGTAGCTGCTTTCCTGTGGCTCTGAGGTTAACCATTGCTATAACTACTTGATTCCTATCCAGCACTGTTTTAATCTTTTAAGAAAAAAAGAAAAGATCTATTGATTAAGAAGCTTTGCTTCTTCTGTAACAGGTTCTTGCAGGAGAACAGAATAGCTTGTGAGATTGGACTATACTATATCCTTCACATAACAAAACAGAGAAATAAGAATGCTTTCCTCAGGCTCCTGCCAGCACTAGGTGAGTTTTTGTCTTATCTTCTGTTCTTCATCTGTTTCCCTTGTCTTGGAGACAAGGCTTAACAGCCTGAAATGAAACTGATTTCAGAGACAAACACATATGTTCTTTTATCTCTTCTGGTGACTTAATTGTTAAGCCCTGCAGAATTACGTTTGTTTTTTTGTCTGCAATTAGGATATTTTTTCTGCTGATCCAAGAACTTAGGGGTAGTGACTGAAGGTCAGTAGTACATCAAAGGCTGTATTAACAATGGGATTAGCTGAGAGCTTTTATGAATGAAACTGAAATATAAAAGTTTAGGTGACAATTCTGCAGCTGCATGTGGTCAGATATTTTTTGAGACTTAGGTTTGTGTGGTGAAAAAGCCTGGAACAAAACAAGACCAAACACAGCCCTAAGTTCCTCCCTGGGATTGCCTTCTGAATTGACCTCTCTGGGTTAAGTTGTGTGAAAGTTCTGTAACATACTTAGGAAGTGCTGCTCCCAGCAGTGGGGCAGATTCCCCACTCCCCCCGTTACCCCAGTGCTGTTCTTTGGACCCTTTGCTTAACAGGCAGCTCATTTACATGGGTGACTTTTTCACTGGTGAGCAGTTTGCATCTGTTCACTGTGGAGTCTGAGGAGTGCAGGGAGATGGTTGTGGCCATGAGCAGAGAACTGTGGAAAAGTATAGCAGGGGTCCCTGTGATTCTGACAGCAGCAAACTGCTCTGTGTGACTTCAGTCTGATGGAGATGTGGGTTCTCTTCATATTTTTCTCAGCTCTCTGCTCCTCAGGTGTAAGTTCACAGCCACCTGCCTGGGCTACCTGTTGTAAAAGCCAGTAAGGAAAAGTTTTCACAAAGATTTCAGCAGGGATCTCTGCTGTGTAATCCAGGTTTGGCACATATTTGCAAGTCTCAGTCTTTGTCTTCTTATGTTGTGTAGTCGAGACATTCAGTGACTTGGCCTTCAGTGATATATTTCTGCATCTGCTCACTGGTAACCTCACACTGCTGGGTGATGAATTTGCAGTTGAAGAGTTCTGCACCGCTCTGTTTGATGGCTTCTTTCTCACTGCATGCTCAAGGTAAATCTGATTTTCCCCAGAGGAAGTGAGTTTGTAAGATATCTGGGAGAGGCTGTACTTCTTTGAACTATTGTTTAACATTTCAGCAAACTCTTTATGTACAGTTGAAATCATTAGTCTGATGCTTTTTCTTTTAGGAAAGGTATATACTGTGATAAAGTTCTTAACAGCAGAATTGCTAAATGTTTCGTGTTGGTGTTGATTACCTGAACCATAACTTGTTATTCTCAAGTTGGAGTTACAAAAGATAATAACCTTCATGCTTTGCAATGGCTGTGAATATGAAGCACTAACTGCAGCTCTTTGTAAAAGCTGCATGCAGAAAAAAACCTGTTTGTTAATTCTCTTAAGCCCATGTGGTTTAACTGGTGGCTGTCAAACCAGATCTAACCTCTGGGAGGCTCCCCCAAAAGCAGTTTCCTCCTCATACAATGGGGGCAAAATATTCTTCTGTGTGTGCATATGGCTCACTCAGCACAGCTGAGAGAGAGAAATTGGTGCTCTGTGCCACAGCCTCTGCTTAAAATCCACCCCACTTTCCCTGTGGTTGCTAGAGTTAGTTCACCCATGTTGATTTATTTATATGAATTAGTTGGATATCTGAGGCAGGATTAGCACTTTGTAACATGTAAGCAATTCCTAGGTATTTTGGAAGATTACAATGAACCAGTCAGTCCTTAGTTGTGTTTGCTGTTCTTCTGATAGAAGAATTGCTGTAGCTTTCTCATTCTGTAGACCGTGTTTGTGTATAACTGTTTCTCTGCTTTAAACTTGCTTTTTTTCAGAAAGGAGAATGTACACAGACATGTACTAAGATTGCTGCTTCATCTGCATCACAAAGTGGCGCCTGCCAAATTAGAGTCTCTCCAGAAGGCTTTGGAACCCACCAAACAGGTAATGAGAAATGGAAAATTAATTGCAAATGAAAGCATCTGTCTTTCCCAGACCTTGCTTAATGGAATGTGTGCTTTATTCAGATAGCAGCTTTCCAAGTTGTCTTAATTACCTTCTAACTTCCTCTTTCTGCATTGGTTTGTGTTAAAACATGGAGGTCAATTGCTTGTTTAGTGCTGTAGTTAGTAGCAGCAGGAACGAAGTCTGACTCCTCTGGTTTTCCTTTCCCTAAATCTCTTTCTGCAGAGTGGGGAGGCTGTGAAGGAGCTTCATAACCAGCTTACTGAGAAACTGGAACTTCGCAAGCCTAGTCCTGCCGAAGTGACTGAGACTCCCTCCATGGAACTGCCCTTGCCCACTGTGCCCACACCAGCCTCACGCTGAGCTGTGTTTGTATTGCAAGAGTGAGACAGCAAAACAAACCTAGTGCTCAGCAGCCTGAGGGCGCTGTACTGCCTTGTCAAGTGTCTGCCCACAGGGTGGAAACAAAAAAAATAGCCACTGAAAAAGCTCTTTGGGAAAACACTGCGGTTTACCCAACTGTCTCTTGCTGGTTAGAAAACTCTGTATGCAGTGCATTGCAGAGGTTTACTTTTCTTAAAGGTAGCTGAGTGAGTGTCTTCTTGTAGATCTACTTACAACTGACTGTACTCTTTTTTTTTTTTTTTTTTTTTGAAAAAGAAAAGGCATATTTTTAAGCTTTGCATCTTGTATTCTTTAACTCTATTTCAAGAACTTATAATCGACTGTCTAGTACATGGTTGAGCAGACAGAGTGAGCTCCTGAAGGCTAACCCGGTTTTTCCTGGCTGTTAGTGGGCTCCTCTGGGTCTTTACAGGAAATGCAGCAAACAAATGTCAGAGGAGATAAGCTCCACTGATGTGATTTTCTGTTTCTAGCTATTTACTTCATGGTAAAACGTGCTGCATTAGTGAGGGATGTCCACCACTGTCACTAGATCAAGAAGCAATGATCTTATGAAGAACACCAGAACCTGAATCAATCCCCTGCTTTCCTTTCTCTCCCATTTTTTTCCAAAGAAAGAGCTTGAAATGAATCTTGGAGCCAGTGAAATAAAACCTAAATGGTGGTGGGGTTTGGGTGTAGGCAGGGTGAAATCCTGACTGAAAGAATAGCCTGTTCTCCATGGCTTATCTGTGTTTGCTGTCTGTACTTTTGCAGTTAATTCCTGTTGTGCTTTTACTGTTGCCTCACTGTAAACATCAGGCAGAGTATGCAGGAAGATGGATTTGGGAGAATGAGTTGTGTGAGCTTACAAGTGACTTTGCATTGGTTTCAGCCTGTACAATATATGTGAAAAAAAATCCCATCAGTCCTCTGTAAACAGGAAGATGGCTACATGAGGGATTCTGAATCGCAGACGAACGCAGGTATGAAGGCACTTCTGAGGGTCTCTGCTTACCAGCTAACTCAGACTAGGGCTCACCTAGAAAAGGTTGCTTAAGGGAACAATGTTGTATTTACCTTTAAGTTTCCTGAGGGTTCTGTTAGGCTGTTTCTCCAGCCCACTGAGGTTCCTCTGAACAGCAGCCCTGCCCAGTGTGTCAGCCATTCCCACAGTTTGGTATCATTTGTAAATTTGCTGAGGGTGTGTTCTGTCTTTGGGTTGTGAATAGAGGCATTAAACAATATTAGCCTCGTTACAGACCCCTGAGGAATGTTAGGAGTAACTGGCTGCCAGTTGGACTTTGTGCTGTTGATCGCAAGTCTCTGGGACTGGAGTCTTGCCAGTTTTCCATGCAGCTATCTGATCCACAGCAAAATGATTTGGCTGTGTGTGTTCTTCAGACAATTGTGTCCAAAGCCATCTGAAGTCAAGCTAAACTGTAATGCTCTCCCCTTGTCTGCCAAGCCAGTCTTCTTAGAAAGTTACCAGAGTTGTCAGGCACCATTAAGCCTTGGAATTTGCCTACCCGTGCTGGTTGTGCTGTCACTTTCTTGTCCTTTTATTTTCCCAGCACTAATTTTTTTTCTTGGGGCTCGAGCACTTCTAGTTCCAAGCCATATTTATGAGACTTTTCCATTTCCTGAAGCTGTATATAAAAAAAAAAAAAAAAGAAAGAAAAAGAAAAAAAAAAAAAGATGTAATTGAGCAAAGATGGAAGTCCCTCCCAGAAGCTGCTGACTCCCTCTTTGTGTAGTTTTTTCTTCCTCCTGAGATCTCAAGTGTTGCATGAGGAAAGCAAGTACTCATCGCCTCAGTGCCTCGTTTTCCATTTGTGCAGGGTTTTGTCTGTATCTTTTGGGAAAACTGGGAAGGCAGCATCAGTTTGTGAGTGAGGAAGGGGTGCTGCCCTCTCGTCCCTGCTGCCTTTGCACTCCTTGTCTCCTGGGCTCAGCATGCCTTTGGTGGAGCCTGGGTCGTTCTTGGCAGATTTCTGATGCTGAACTTGCTGGAAACAGGAACTGCTTGTAACAATCAGTATTTTCTTGCAAAGCTTGGTTTTTAAACCATTTAAACTGATGTGTGACTTACACAGAGCAACATCCCACACTGCTTGGAAACCTTTCACTATTAACTCCCTCCAACTTGTGTTCTGCTCAGCCCCAGGGTCCGTAGCTCTGTGTACAGGTTCTCTCTGTCACTGAAGTCTTCCCATATACTGCAGCCTGATTTGCTACTTTCTTGCAGCATTAACTTATTTTAATTCAGGCTGACTGAGCAATTTGCAATTCGGTAGGAAGACCTCTTGTGTTTTATCGTGTGTCAACAGTGCTGGGGATTATTTTTTCAGCCTTTAAGATCTACAGAGGTGGCACAAAGAAATTGAGTCCAGGAGCACGTACTGATGATTACCTGTGCTAGTTGATGCTTCAGCTGAGGGGAAGTCTGTGGGCAGGGGGAGAATGGGAATGGCTGCCACTCCACTCTGCACTCTCTTGACTTGCTTCCTTCTGAAAAGACGTGATAAATTAGCAGAAACATCTCTCAGAAAAGACTTTTTTTTTTTTTTCCAGAAGTGACCATCTCGGTCTGTTGGCATTCTTAGAGATGAGAATGGTTTGACCCCCAGCAATTATACAGACTGATGCTTTTGTGTCAGCTCGCGCTGTCCTGTGCTGTAACTGCCAGCTGAAGTACAACAGAACTGTGAAAAGAATTACATTTTTTTTCCCTCTTTGCCTTTTCTTAATGCTCCCATATGTAGCCTGTTGTAACTGGCAGCGAGGTGCAGTGCAGATCTCAGTTGTGTGCAGAGCTGTGTGTGCACACTAGAGGGTAGTGCACCACTGACTGCCTGCCACCAGCACGCTGCTGCCTGAAGTCCTCCCAGCTGGCATGGAGCAGGGAGCTGGAGCTGCCTGCCCTCTGTTTACACTCATGTTACAGATTGTCTTTACAACGGGGATGTGATACCTGTGGTATGGAAAAATAGCGTATTCTCACCAAGCCTGCTGTGTCTGACTCGGGGATGAATTTTTACGATGAATTCTAATTAGCTTGAGCAATCTGGTCCTCTCTGTGTGTTTTTCCGGAGAGATCATAGTAACTAATAGCTCTGAGAGGTTCTCCAGGCTTTCTGGATGGTTAACATTTAACTGAAATTTTATGTTGAGCTTTGAAGCAACTCATTTGGATTGAGGTATATTAGCAGATTGATAGAGCACTGGAACTGCAGTATTGTAGTTGATAGGAGTAGCTCCAAAATTTGGTTACTGAGGCCAATGCTAGCAGAAGAATCAGGTCTGGGTTATGCAGAATTAGTGGAAAAAATGTTTACAATGGTAAAGTACAGTTTACTTCTGAAGGAGCTGACACCAAAAGCATGGCACAGCATCATTTCACATCACCCACATTCTACCTGACATGATGATTTGATGCAGGAAATCTCTTTCTGGACTGAGATTAAAAAAAAAAAAAAAGAGGCTGAACAAATCTGCTTGGACAGAAGGAACATGAAGATCCCCCCCGGATAAACGCCAGTTGTTGTGTCTTGCTGTTTTGTCAGAACTGTTTTTAGGTGATTCCTGGTCACCTCTCTATACAACAGCATAAAGGAAACCTGCCACTGGTTTCACTTTGAAGATGCTTGAGTTAGAAGAAGTTGGCCTGCTTGCACAGTGCATGTCTGGTCTGGTCTGTTCTTGCAGAAATGAAGGGAAGACTCACACTGTCTTGAACCTCACTCATCCTTGAAGTCCTGCATGGGGCCAAAGTGAGGATCCAGACATTGGGCTCACAAAGAAATGTTCCTCTGCCCCATTCCAGCAGGTGTCTGGCGTGGCACAGCAGTTTCTACAGGAAGGAATCAGGCACATTCCTGAGCAGTTCCACGTCAGGGAGCAGGTATGAAAATACACTGAAGTGAGACTGGTAAGAAGAACTAATGATAAATACAAATCACAGAATTTCCTCTTGCAAGCATTTAAAACTTCAAATAATAGTATTTTCTGATTTTAATGATTTCAGCAGTCCTGGGACACAGGGAAGTCTGTGGATTTATGTATTGTGTTCTTCACTACCTCCCGCACTGTACCTGCAGCACCTGGGCATGCTGCTGTTGGGCTGGACCTGTACTGCTGCTTCTGCACATGCCCTTCCTTGCCTTCCTCTCCTCTTGGTGTCTTGCTTCTATGGATCTCCCCAGGCTGGGGTAACACTTCTGCCTGATAACGTCTCTTTTTGGAGAAGGGCTGCCCCGTGCTTGGCAGAAACCCTTCCCTGAGCAGCACTATCTTGAAGACCTTGCAGGCAGGAAGAAAATGTGTTTCTTGCTGATGCTGTTTCAGTGTCTGGGCAACATCTACCAAAGTTCCCCTAGGCTGGAACGTGCTCTGAAAGAACGGGAACATTTTACTAGGTGTTGCAGTAGATATTCCACTATGTCCTTACTATGAAAGCTCTGGATTTCCATGGAGATCCTTCCAATTCAGGCATGAAAGCCTGGCACCTTGATGAGGGACGGTGAATGTCACCAGTGCCTTCAATAGAACTCAAAAAGTTCAGATGGGAGCAATTCCATTGCATCATTTACCTCCCATAAAAGGAAGCTTATTGTTCGAAAAGAAGGCTGTATTCTGACAGCCTTCAGTGCTGGACTTACGGGAGTTACATCCTGCACTTCTGAATTAAACCTTAGCTGGTGGTAAAGAACAATTGTGAAACCAACCTCCTGGAGAGGACTGACTGCCAACTTTGGCTTTCCAGCCCAATGACAGTATTTCCCACATAGGACCACAGAACTCACAGCTGGGACCATTGTAAGGATGGGCTCTGTTAAGCTGTAGCTCCAGGGATAAAAATTGCTGGGACCCAGCAATTCGAGCTGTGCATCTTTGTGGCTCTGAATGCTGAAAGCCTCTGCTTGCTGGCAGAACACTCCGTTCTGCCTCAGTGCTGCAGGCACTTTGAAAAGTGGTCGGGAGTGGTGGGTTGTGGTGCAGATGGCTGGAAGGGAGCTGGGCATTTAGCTGAGTGACAGAAAGTCTGGAGCAGATGCCACGCGGCAGAAACTGGAGTTATCCCTCTCCAAGATGCTGCTGGATGGTTTGGGCTTCACAGCCACCTATGGGTTAGTTGTGGTGAGGGGAAGGGTATACAGACAGGGACTTGAGTGCACTAAATATAACTTACCGCCTCACCCTGCATTGTGCCTTGGCCAAAGGGCAGCACTGGGGCTGTGTGGGGCAGAGCTGTGCCTGTAGCTGTGCTGGAGCCCTCCTAGAGGCAGGGAGAGGTCTGTGTGACGGGGTGGTATGGATGGTTTCTTGCAGTATTGATAGCTCCAGGTGGGTGGAAGGCAGCTCCACCCCAGTGCAGGTCACTGTGCTGAGGACTCCTCAGGCAGGGTTTCAGCTCTGTGTTTGCTGCCATCTGAGCCGTTCCTGGGCATCCTCTGCAGTCTTTGCATTAAGCAGCACCCCAAAGTGAGCATCGGTGTCTTCCCCTTGTTCTCCAGGTCTCGTTGATGTCAAAGGAACAAGAAAGATTCCTGTATCTGTCCTCGAGTCAAACAGAGCTGTTTCTGGTTCCCGTGTTGTCATAGAAAAGAAGTCCAGAGCTCAAGAGACAGTTATTTTGGAGCTTTGTATTTTGTTTTTCTTTCCTTTAGCATCCATTTGCTATTACCGAAGCTGTGTTGGCTGATTAGGGTTGACAGAACTTGTAAGTGGTGAAATGTTAATAAATCCTGGTGATGAGTCATTAGCATACAAAGCAATCTGATGACTCAGAACACAAGGTTTTTATTATCATTTTTTCAAGCACATGTATAGGTAGGAGCAATTAAAAATCTTGAGAAGAAATCTGTCTCAGATCTGTTTGTCTTTTGTGAAGGCTGTGGAAGATGCTGACAAATGGGGTGGTGCTCTTTTTAACTCTGAAACCCTTTAGCCTGAGTTGTGTTCTCCTGGCACTGCTTCTAGTCGTGTTCCCCCACCCTCCGTCCCAGCTCTGTTGGATGTCCTTAGCTTAGGAAGGAAGCACTGCATGAGTGTGAGAGGAAGGAGATGGTGAAGTTTATTCCCCTAAAATGCACTTGAAGCTTCAGTCAAGGTGTTGGAGTCACTGGGTCAGAGTCATTATGGACTTGTGAAATGATGTCATCGGAGCAATAACAAAACATCCCATCCAATCAGGTCACGGCCTGATTTGTTACCAGCACCGTGTTCTCTGCTTAATCTCTAGTGAGCAATCAGGTAATTACTAAGGACTTCTTACAGGCAGCTTCCTTAAGGCGAGGCCAAGGGGGAGAGAAGGGATCTGTGTTCCTCCTCACCTGGCACTGCTGTGCTCTGGGCTTTGGCTGCGGTGTGTGGAGGTGCAGGAAGCACCTTGTGTTGTCCCAGGGAGGCTCAGAAGTTCCTTCCAAAAAGCCAATTGTTGTGACAGGTCAGATATGCAGTTTAACCCTGATTTATAGTTCCAAAACAATTATTGCTGCCTTTTTCTGGTGCCCTTTAGAGGTTCTGTGAGCTCTGTCAAGTTGAGGAAGGGTGGGTTTGCCAGGTTGTTAGTCAGCTACGGCAGCTTCCAAGTGGAAGAATGGGGTGATGGTGCTTCCAAGAAGCTTGGATGAAGGTGATCCTTGGTGTTACAACAACAACACGCCCTTGGGGCTGTGATGAATATGAATAGTAACTGACACCTACCAGCTTTCTTAAAAACATCTCTTTAGAATTATAGAATCATTGAGGTTGGAAAAGACCTCTAAAGATCGTATAGTCAGCCCATCCATCTACCACATCCCAGCTACCACAGCTCCAAGTTCCTGAGCACTTCAGGGACAATGACTCCACCACCTCCCTGCACTGTAGAGAACTGAGTTGTCATTGGCCACAACTCTCCCAGTGCAACTATCCATCCAAATCCTCACCTATCAGGCAGTCCATCCATCACGTCTCTATCTCTCCAGTTTGGAGCTGTGGATGTTCTGTGGGACTGTGCCAAATACTGTGCCCTAATCCAGGTTGAGACATGCAGGTGGTTCAGGTATTCAGGATTTTCTTCCAGCCCAACCAATTGGATTGGAGACCGGCCTTATTTCCATCCTGCTTTTGCAAAGGAATAGCAGATCTCAGCTCAGCCTTGGGGAACTTCTTCTACCGTGCCAGTTCTTTCATGCAGCCTTTATCCAGATTTGACCTACTTGTCATTTGTGTACAAACAGTTGTCAGAAAGCAGCAGGGATAGAGAGAAGATGCATCTGAGAAGCGCTGGCTCTTCATTAGTACATTGCAGAACAGTGAGCAACTCGAGCAAATGGCAGTGGCAATCTGCAGGTAGGGATGTTTCAGCACACAGGTATCTATGTAACCTGACAGGCATGCATGCACACTTCATTGCATGTCTGTCTGATGCTGCTGGCTCTCGCTGCATGCAGTTGCCCAGCTGATATTTACTACATCCCTTTGGGGTTCCCAGCACGCTGCTGACTGCTCCATGACCAACAGCTCAGGGGTTGTTGGTAGGATCTGAAATGGGATCTTTCTGTTTCCCCAGGGCTGCAGGAGGTTCCCAAATAAAGCCAGCCCAGATTGACACCAACACGCATCAGTCAGGCACGGTGCTTCCCTCTCCATGTGTTTAGCAGCAAGAATTCACACCCAGTCCTACGCGTGATCCTTAGCAAACATTGACATCCTGCTCCTCACGGCGGGGTGAAGCAGATCAAAGGAAAATGTTCCAAAGAAACATGTATGGAAATGAAACAAGAGCAACCACAGCTTTCAGTAGAGTTGATCAGACTGCTCATAGCAAGTATTTTTCACTGATTATTATTTTTTTTTCATCATTAGTGAAAGAGCTCCCAGCTTGCGAGTAGTCACTGTTTGGAAACCAGTTACCACAATATGAGCTGTCAGCCCTGGCAATAGCTCAGGGCTGGTTGGCTTTCTACCTTACGTCTCATTAAGCATGGATTGGTGATGTCCTTAAGGCTAGAACTGTGTGATAGGGCTCAGGTACTGCTTAAAGACTTAAGAGGCATCACAGATGTAGGTGGTGTTTGCATGGATGCTGAGGATGGCAAAGGGCAGAGGCAGGGTGGTTAATTCTTTGGCTGCTGGGCTTTTAGGAGGAGCAGCAATCAATCCAGCTGTAATGTACGGCAACAAGAAGATTATTTTTTAATGATTTTGTATTCATAAGCTGGAGCCCCTAGCATAAAACCAGGATTAAGCTGCTACATGTTACTCTGCCTGCCTTGCTCGTGTAATTTCTCTCTTTGATTCTGTGCAAAGAGCTGCTCATAGGAACAAAGGAGTCACGCTGCCCTTACTCATTAAGGACTGCGTATGTAGAACACATCGGTGTTGTCTTTAGACTAAAAGCCCTCCCGTATGACTGGTACCATCAGACCATCTCCTGCCTCCTGGCAACTGCCTCTGTTGCCATAGGAACGCAGCTCTGCTTTCGTGCAGAG